TTTCAGTCCCTGCTGCCACTTCACTGCAGGGCAGGAGGCTTTTATCTCTGGAGGAAGTGAAGGATTATTCTGAGGGTTTTTATCTAAAGGTGCTCCATGCTGCAGGACGCTTTAAAGAGGGATTATACTGCGGACACAGTGATGGATACTGCTGGGTGTTAAAGAGAGGACCCTTTTTCTTCTGGTGCCAAAACCAAACACTTCAGGACCTCAACTAGCTTTTGTTTCAACTTTCCCTGCAGCGAGTCTCTCGGGAGCAGAGCCAGCTTGGTTTCCCTCAAATCGCATTCAAACCGGGAGTTTAGACTTCATTTAAAGTGCTTTTCGTGGCGCCTGGCTCTCTGCTGCTGGTGTCCAGTTCCCCCGGGATCAGGGAGATGTTTCCCGGGCTCCTCGCCTCCTCCTGGTGCCCAAACAGCGGATCTGAGAGGAGATGAGAGCCGCGGTGTGGCTCCTGCTGGCCGGCTGTTTCTGCACCGCTGCTGAGGTACACAGCTGTCATTTAACCTACTTTCTATACTCTCCTATATGTTATATACTGCATGTAATGTCTACATTCTTGCTAGTATACTGTTCTTTTAGATAACATAATAATGTATCCACAAATACAGATGTGTGTTATCATGTATTTCTCAAAATAATCTCTAACCCTGGATCTACCCTAACCCACAAGTACCGTAGTTTCTTTGTTATATATTTGTTGTACTTTATTCCAACATTTAAATATGTTGATGCCTGAACACATTGCTGGTGTAACACAATAATATGGGATCAATACATATATAAATACTATCAACAAATATCTATCTATCCATCCATCCATCTACACACACACATGCACAATGCGTAATACGCGCACTGACTTTTCTAATGAAATGCCCCTCTGGAGTTGATGTTATGCTGCCTCTTTACGCACTGTAACAGCCGCAGCTCTGGTTCTCTCTCCCGGGTTAACCCTCTGATTCCCCCCGCAGGAGGCTCCTCTCCCCCGGGAGCTGCTGGAGCTTCTGTCCGGCAGTGAGATCCGGAGCATCAGCGACCTCCAGCGGCTGCTCGAGACTCAGTCCGTAGGTAAAGCGCTTCTTTTTTTTTAAACTGTGATTAGTATTTTTAAGTGATTAAGCAATCACAGCAGAACAAGTTGCAGACCAATATAGTGTCACAAGAGAGCAAATAGTAGTGTTAGTGTGGTCTCGTGATTGAACAAAGACCATGCTCATAACAATAATATGCTTTTCTTTATTATAAAAATCATAGATTGAAACGTAAATCAACAATAATCTCAATAATGTCAACACCATCAATGACAGCGATGTGATGATAAGGTAAACTCATAATAACACACCTCCCACCCACACACTGTGTGAGCAGAATCAGCCACACATGTTACAGGAGCAGAACAATAGAAGTAATGTTCTCATAACTTCACCAAAGTCATTTTACATTTGTTTAACTTTCGTTTACTTGGCCTTGTTCAGCTGCTCATTAGCATTTAAAGCTACAGACACAGAATCAGCACTTTTGGAACAGGGTAGTGTCTCTACTTTAAAGAGAGTCCTCTCCTGCTGATGTTCAGGTGTATATCAGTATGTAGTGTCTCTACTTTAAAGAGTCCCTCCTGCTGATGTTCAGGTGTATATCAGTATGTAGTGTCTCTACTTTAAAGAGTCCTCCTCCTGCTGATGTTCAGGTGTATATCAGTATGTTATGTCTCTACTTTAAAGAGTCCTCTCCTGCTGATGTTCAGGGTGTATATCAGTATGTAGTGTCTCTACTTTAAAGAGTCCTCTCCTGCTGATGTTCAGTGTATATCAGTATGGTAGTGTCTCTACTTTAAAGAGTCCCTCTACTGCTGATGTTCAGTGGTATATCAGTATGTAGTGTCTCTACTTTAAAGAGTCCTCTCTGCTGATGTTCAGGTGTATATCAGTATGTAGTGTCTCTACTTTAAAGAGTCCTCTCCTGCTGATGTTCAGGTGTATATCAGTATGTATTGTCTCTACTTTAAAGAGTCCTCTCCTGCTGATGTTCAGGTGTATATCAGTATGTAGTGTCTCTACTTTAAAGAGTCCTCTCCTGCTGATGTTCAGGTGTATATCAGTATGTAGTGTCTCTACTTTAAAGAGTCCTCTCCTGCTGATGTTCAGGTGTATATCAGTATGTAGTGTCTCTACTTTAAAGAGTCCTCTCCTGCTGATGTTCAGGTGTATATCAGTATGTAGTGTCTCTACTTTAAAGAGTCCTCTCCTGCTGATGTTCAGGTGTATATCAGTATGTAGTGTCTCTACTTTAAAGAGTCCTCTCCTGCTGATGTTCAGGTGTATATCAGTATGTAGTGTCTCTACTTTAAAGAGTCCTCTCCTGCTGATGTTCAGGTGATATATCAGTATGTAGTGTCTCTACTTTAAAGAGTCCTCTCCTGCTGATGTTCAGGTGTATATCAGTATGTAGTGTCTCTACTTTAAAGAGTCCTCTCCTGCTGATGTTCAGGTGTATATCAGTATGTAGTGTCTCTACTTTAAAGAGTCCTCTCCTGCTGATGTTCAGGTGTATATCAGTATGTATTGTCTCTACTTTAAAGAGTCCTCTCCTGCTGATGTTCAGAGTGTATATCAGTATGTAGTGTCTCTACTTTAAAGAGTCCTCTCCTGCTGATGTTCAGGTGTATATCAGTATGTAGTGTCTCTACTTTAAAGAGTCCTCTCCTGCTGATGTTCAGGTGTATATCAGTATGTAGTGTCTCTACTTTAAAGAGTCCTCTCCTGCTGATGTTCAGGTGTATATCAGTATGTAGTGTCTCTACTTTAAAGAGTCCTCCTTCATGCTGATGTTCAGGTGTATATCAGTATGTAGTGTCTCTACTTTAAAGAGTCCTCTCCTGCTGCTGTTTCAGGTGTATATCAGTATGTAGTGTCTCTACTTTAAAGAGTCCTCTCCTGCTGATGTCAGGTTGTATATCAGTATGTATTGTCTCTACTTTAAAGAGTCCTCTCCTGCTGATGTTCAGGTGTAGGTATATCAGTATGTATTAGTGTCTCTACTTTTAAAGAGTCCTCTCCTGCTGATGTTCAGGTGTATATCAGTATGTATTGTCCTCTACTTTAAAGAGTCCTCTCCTGCTGATGTTCAGGTGTATATCAGTATGTAGTGTCTCTACTTTAAAGAGTCCTCTCCTGCTGATGTTCAGGTGTATATCAGTATGTAGTGTCTCTACTTTAAGAGTCCTCTCCTGCTGATGTTCAGGTGTTTATATCAGTATGTAGTGTCTCTACTTTAAAGAGTCCTCTCCTGCTGAGTTCAGGTGTATATCCAGTATGTAGTGTCTCTACTTTAAAGAGTCCTCTCCTGCTGATGTTCAGGTGTATATCAGTATGTAGTGTCTCTACTTTAAAGAGTCCTCTCCTGCTGATGTTCAAGGTGTATATCAGTATGTAGTGTCTCTACTTTAAAGAGTCCTCTCCTGCTGATGTTTCAGGTTGTATATCAGTATGTAGTGTCCTCTACTTTAAAGAGTCCTCTCCTGCTGATGTTCAGGTGTATATCAGTATGTAGTGTCTCTTACTTTAAAGAGTCCTCTCCTGCTGATGTTTCAGGTGTATATCAGTATGTAGTGTCTCTACTTTAAAGAGTCCTCTCCTGCTGATGTTCAGGTGTATATCAGTAGTAGTGTCTCACTTTAAAGAGTCCTCTCCTGCTGATGTTCAGGTGTAATTCGTATGTAGTGTCTCTACTTTAAAGAGTCCTCTCCTGCTGATGTTCAGGTGTATATCAGTATGTAGTGTCTCTACTTTAAAGAGTCCTCTCCTGCTGATGTTCAGGTGTATATCAGTGTGTCGTGTCTCTACTTTAAAAGAGTCCTCTCCTGCTGATGTTCAGGTGTATATCAGTATGTAGTGTCTCTACTTTAAAGAGTCCTCTCCTGCTGATGTTCAGGTGTATATCAGTATGTAGTGTCTCTACTTTAAAGAGTCCTCTCCTGCTGATGTTCATGTGTATATCAGTATTGTAGTGTCTCTACTTTAAAGAGTCCTCTCCTGCTGATGTTCAGGTGTATATCAGTATGTAGTGTCTCTACTTTAAAGAGTCCTCTCCTGCTGATGTTCAGGTGTATATCAGTAGTAGTGTCTCTACTTTAAGAGTCCTCTCCTGCTGATGTTCAGGTGTAATATCAGTATGTAGTGTCTCTATCTTTAAAGAGTCCTCTCCTGCTGATGTTCAGGTGTATATCAGTATGTAGTGTCTCTACTTTAAAGAGTCCTCTCCTGCTGATGTTCAGGTTGTATATCAGTATGTAGTGTCTCTACTTTAAAGAGTCCTCTCCTGTGATGTTCAGGTTTAAATCAGTATGTGTGTCTCTACTTTAAAGAGTCCTCTCCTGCTGATGTTCAGGTGTATATCAGTTATGTAGTGTCTCTACTTAAAGAGTCCTCTCCTGCTGATGTTCAGGTGTATATCAGTATGTAGTGTCCTCTACTTTAAAGAGTCCTCTCCTGCTGATGTTCAGGTGTATATCAGTATGTAGTGTCTCTACTTTAAAGAGTCCTCTCCTGCTGATGTTCGAGGTGTATATCAGTATTAGTGTCTCTACTTTAAAGAGTCCTCTCCTGCTGATGTTCAGGTGTATATCAGTATGTAGTGTCCTACTTTAAAGAGTCCTCTCCTGCTGATGTTCAGGTGTATATCAGTATGTAGTGTCTCTACTTAAAGAGTCCTCGCCTGCTGATGTTCAGGTGTATATCAGTATGTAGTGTCTCTACTTTAAAGAGTCCTCTCCTGCTGATGTTCAGGTGTATATCAGTATGTAGTGTCTCTACTTTAAAGAGTCCTCTCCTGCTGATGTTCAGGTGTATATCAGTATGTAGTGTCTCTACTTTAAAGAGTCCTCTCCTGCTGATGTTCAGGTGTATATCAGTATGTAGTGTCTCTACTTTAAAGAGTCCTCTCCTGCTGATGTTCAGGTGTATATCAGTATGTAGTGTCTCTACTTTAAAGAGTCCTCTCCTGCTGATGTTCAGGTGTATATCAGTATGTAGTGTCTCTACTTTAAAGAGTCCTCTCCTGCTGATGTTCAGGTGTATATCAGTATGTAGTGTCTCTACTTTAAAGAGTCCTCTCCTGCTGATGTTCAGGTGTATATCAGTATGTAGTGTCTCTACTTTAAAGAGTCCTCTCCTGCTGATGTTCAGGTGTATATCAGTATGTAGTGTCTCTACTTTAAAGAGTCCTCTCCTGCTGATGTTCAGGTGTATATCAGTATGTAGTGTCTCTACTTTAAAGAGTCCTCTCCTGCTGATGTTCAGGTGTATATCAGTATGTAGTGTCTCTACTTTAAAGAGTCCTCTCCTGCTGATGTTCAGTGTATATCAGTATGTAGTGTCTCTACTTTAAAGAGTCCTCTCCTGCTGATGTTCAGGTGTATATCAGTATGTAGTGTCTCTACTTTAAAGAGTCCTCTCCTGCTGATGTTCAGGTGTATATCAGTATGTAGTGTCTCTACTTTAAAGAGTCCTCTCCTGCTGACGTTCAGGTGTATATCAGTATGTAGTGTCTCTACTTTAAAGAGTCCTCTCCTGCTGATGTTCAGGTGTATGTAGTGTCTCTACTTTAAAGAGTCCTCTCCTGCTGATGTTCAGGTTGTATATCAGTATGTAGTGTATCTACTTTAAAGAGTCCTCCTCCTCCTGATGTTCAGGTGTATATCAGTATGTAGTGTCTCTACTTTAAAGAGTCCTCTCCTGCTGATGTTCAGGTGTATATCAGTATGTAGTGTCTCTACTTTAAAGAGTCCTCTCCTGCTGATGTTCAGGTGTATATCAGTATGTAGTGTCTCTACTTTAAAGAGTCCTCTCCTGCTGATGTTCAGGTGTATATCAGTATGTAGTGTCTCTACTTACAAGAGTCCTCTCCTGCTGATGTTCAGGTTTACATCAGTATGTAGTGTCTCTACTTTAAAGAGTCCTCTCCTGCTGATGTTCAGGTGTATATCAGTATGTAGTGTCTCTACTTTAAAGAGTCCTCTCCTGCTGATGTTCAGGTGTATATCAGTATGTAGTGTCTCTACTTTAAAGAGT